GAAGTACTGAAACAGGAGGTACTTTCAGAATTCACCTAGGACTGACAAACCAGCCTGTTAATATTAAGACTCAGGCTTTTCCCTATTTAAACCATAATGAAGTTATAAAAATAGACTCACGACAGTCTCTCTAGGCAACATTTTGGATGTCGTAAGGCCTCACATAACAACTTCACGCCATCATCCAACAGATTATTGGCCGACAGATTCAGAAATATCAGGCTCTGGCTTTTGATGAGAGCCTTCGATATATTTAGACAACAAACTGCAGTTAATTCACAGAATTCCAACCTGGAAAACAAAATCAAAAAAAACAGAAATGATGCATCCTACAGAAGAATGACAATCACCACTCACACCCAGCCAGAGGGTAAAGATTTGTCAGTTTGGGGGGAACCTTGACTGAAATTTCAGCTTCCCTTCATAGAATCAGTTATTTAAGTATAAGACTGTGACAGAGTTAAGGAGGGAAGAAAGTCTATCTCTCCCATCCCCAATTCCCCATGAAAATGTGTATGAAAACATTTTTAAAATCTTTAATGGAAATACATTTTTTAAATCTGAGAGGTATTTCCCTAACTACAACTCTGAAGAAGATGGATCAAAGGATAACTGTCCCCTCCAACACTGATCTGTGGAATAACAGAGGCAGACAGAAGTCAGGAGGGATCTCCCATGAGCTTGCTTACCTCATGGGAATCAACCCATGCTTTCTGAGGAACTTGGTCCTTAAAAGTGAAACCAAGAAGTAAAAATCAGAAATAAAATTGTTTCTAAAAGAGGAAATGAAGTAGACAAAGTACACATAGAATCCTTCTAAATAATCTTAAAAGAGATTTCTATTTGAAAATAATTTGTGCTCCATACACTGGGAGTGATATCAACAATCTGTGAGAAGAGTCAGGCAGCACAGAGTTCTTGGCAGCTGGAGCTGCTCCAGGTATTTAATAAAGGGCTTAACAATTTGAGGCACTCAGGAATCCGTTCTCTCCATCAAAATCAGGGTACACAGAGGCAGGAACAGGAAAAAGCTCCCCTTCTGCAGCCCAGAATTAGATACAATGGGTGACCTAGAGTATGACCAAAGGCTGAAAATCTTAATTTTCCCTGAAAAATAAAATGTTCTGGGTTGAATTATGTTCCTCCAAAAGTCATATGTTGAGATGCTAACTCCTAATGTGGAAGTATTTGGAGGTGGGTCCTTTAAGGAAGTTCTTATTTACTTAAATGAAGTGAAAAGAGTAGGGTCCTAATGTAATAGGACATACTTATAAGAAGGGAAAGGGATACAAAGAGTGGGCAAGTACACATAATAAAGGCCATGTGGGGACACAGCAAGAAGGCAAAAGGTGAGAGACCTCACCAGAAAAGAACCCTGTCTGCTCTTGATCTTTTAGCCTCCATAATATTGAGAAGTAAGTTTAAGATACTCAGTTCATGGCCTTTTGGTATGGCAGCCTGAGCAGACTGGACACTGTATTAGCAGCCACAAAGGTAGTTGGGGGAAAAAAGGGGACTCTTGTCATTCTGTTTGTACAGAACTCTTCTAGACGGGAAGAGTCAATATTATGAGGACCTGTGGATAAAATATTAAATTCTTACAGAAAGATATTCACTAAGGGGCAAGTGTATGAAAAAGAGAAAACTAGGGGACATGAGAAAATGTGTGGAAGGATTTGTTTTCATTTTTAAATGTATAGGAAGATAAAGACTCTGAAACAAGTAACACAACACTAGGGAAGTGAGATTGAGAGAAAGGGAGCAGGCTGAGGATGAAAGAATCCAACAAAATCAAAAAGAAAACGGCAATCTGAGTTAGATGTAAAAAAAAAAAATACTAAATTAAAATTAATGAAAATAAGTTTGAGAAACTCCCAAGAAAAAAGTAGGGGAAACCAAACATTAAACTGACTAAAAATTACATAGGAAAAAATATCTATGATCAATGACCATTAGGTGCTTTTGAAAAACAGCATGAAAAAGAGAGGAAAAGAACTGAAGCCATTTAAAAAATTCAATTTAAAGAAATCCTTGCTGAATAAAAAGATTGCCCTGTACCAAAAGATATTTTATGCAAAAGAAATAAAAATATATCCTATCATCATCAATGACAAGACAAAATACTACAATCTGCAGAGACAGGGAGAGAGACTAAAAAAAAAAAAAGCCTGACTCCCAAATTTGTAAAGTGTTGATAGACCTTTTGTTTATTTATATGTGGTGCTGAGAATTGAACCCCAGAGCCTCACACACGCCAGGCAAGTGTGCTACTGCTGAGCCACAGCCCCGCCCACCAGGCTATTCTTATACTACTCTTTAAAAACACTGAATGTTAGAAACTAATATAGCAAAGTAAAAGTTCGGTGAACAGGGTGGAGATCTAGGACCCTGGTAAGCTGTCATACATCTATGAAGGCATAAATCAAACTCTACCACTCACATACATTTCAATAAATCATTAGTTTACAATCTCGCCAAGAATGTAATTAATAAAAATTAAGCTTTTTTTTTTTTTTTTTTTTTTTTTTACAATGGAAAAGGAGTTTAAGAAAACAAAACAACCTGGTAATATACATTGACAAAAATTTTGTATGTGGAAATTAAGTCTGAATAATTATATTCATGTTGTCATAAAAAAATTCAGAAAAGTATCCAAAGTGTCCAAAAGTATAAAATATGTACCCTGTAATCCCAGATTAAATTAACATACTTGAACTGTATGATAGAGGTATGCTAAATGTATTACTTTATATAAAAGTATTTTAATGTCAAAATCCTTTTGAATTGGATAACTCAGGCAATTTGGAGGGGATCTAAAGAATAATGACCACCAATTAAATAAAAAAGTGAGTATTTACAAATTTCTGGACACAAATGTATATAAAACAAAAATGAAGTAAAATATCTCTCCTTTAGGAAGAAAAAATAGAAAGCTGGAAATAACAATTGAAAATGTTTTTAACCATAAATATTAAATGCTTAACTATAATATATGCATTTTAAATGATTACTTAAATCATTTTCACATTAGAAGTTTGAGTTTCTTGAGATTTCCATTTTTCTTAGTGCTAACTAATGAAATTTCATCTATGGAACCTCCTAACTCCTGATGAATCTCAGCTTCATAAAATGTTCTTTATTTTGCAGCTGCAAAGAAAAGCAGGTACTTTATAAGTCAGAAACTATTTTATAAAAGTGAATGTTTTGCTGTTTGCAGTGGCGTACACCTGTAATCTCAGCAGCTCGGGAGGCTGAGACAGGAGGATTCTGAGTTCAAAGCCAGCCTCAGCAAAATGGAGGTGCTAAACAAGTACAGAAAAAAACAACTAAATAAAAAATACAAAATAGGACTGGGGATGTAGCTCAGTGGTCAAGTGTCCCCAAGTTCAATTCCCACACCGTACCCTCAAAAAAAGAATGAATTTTTTTTTTTTTTATAACTAAGGCACTCAATTACTTGGGATTTTAGAAATCATTGCTATGTCTTGTGAAAACAACCCTTAACTACTAAGTTTTGACTGTCATATGAAATAATATGTAACTCTTAACATTCAAATTAATATTTCTGAATTCTGAAATACTAAAAAATATTGAAAATATTTTGTCAAATTTAAAAAAGATCACTGGAACCCTCACATGCATAGAAGTAATAGTAGAAAAAAACTGATGATTTGAATAAGGTTGTCCTCTCTAAACTGATATTACAGCTTAATCCCTTTGGGGGGTCTTAAGAGGACAGAAATTTGAAATTTAATCTGTATTTTTAGAAATGGGACTGTTAGGTGGTGATAAGGAAAGTCATCAGGGTAGATGAATACAAGTGATTGAATACTGGTGGCTTTATACAAAGACTAAGAGACCAGAGGATATACGCATCTCGTCTCTTGCCATGTTACGTCTTGCACCACCTCAGAATTCTGCCAGCAAGGAAGCCATTGGCAGATTCAACCCCTTAATCTTGCATCTCCAGAACCATGAGCCAAAATAAACCTCTTTAAAATACCAGTCTGGGGTATTGTGTTACTACCAACAGAAATCAGACTAAGACACTGTTTCCTGTTTTTTTCTAGAGTTAGGAGGAAATGTGTCATTTATATTAAGATATAACATTAGTTACCAGTAATTCTATCAAGAAAGAAACTGCTGAGGGATTATGGCTCCAAACTGACACCTAAATATAAGCCAACAAAACAGATTATTTTATCTTACATTTAGTTTCTTCTGGAGAGCTTACCCAATTATTTTTTCTTTTTTCTGTACTGGGGATTGAATTCAGGAACAATCAACCACTGAGCCACATCCTCAACCCTATTTTATATTTTATTTTAGGGACAGGGTCTCACTGAGTTGCTTAGTGCCTCACTTTTTTTTTTTTTTTTTTTGCTGAGGCTGGCTTTGAACTTTCGACCCTCCTGTCTCAGCCTCCTGAGCTGCTGGGATTACAGGCCATGTGCCACCACACCCAGCCCAACTATTTCTCAATAGTAGCAATAAACTAAGGCTCATGGCTAGAAATTCCTAAAGCCCCTTAAAAATACACAAATTATAATTTTTTTTATTGGCCTTATTGATTCTTGTCTATGGCTCTGACCAGATGTCACTGGGTATAGATCCACAAAGTGGCTCTACAAACAGTTGACTCAGAGCAAGGGACCCATGTTCTACCTGGAATAAGTTCTTGGTTTGAGAGTTGGTCAGGGTAGAATTTTATCAGATGCAAGATGTGGCTTTCCTTATGAGTTAATCCTCAGTGGAATAAGTTCTCCTGTGCTGCTAGCAGATTAAGATCAGAAAACTGCCATCAGAGAAAGCAGCTATTCCTCAGTAATGAGGAACTGTAACTCTGAAGATGAGCACTGTAGACACTTGGGAGAGCTGTTTGAACATTATTTTTCTCTTCTGAAAATGTCTGCTATGTATTTCCAGGTTGCTCAAGAATTTTCCAATTTTTTTTTGTTTGGTTGTGAGGTTACTTTTATGACATCATTAGAAATTCAGGGATGACAGGAGAGTGTTGTTACTGAAGCAACATGCAGAAGCTGTCTTTCTCTGAGAATCAGCATGAATGTACCACAGGTGACAGAGGAATTGTGTTCCTAAGAGAAGGTACCTTTTTAACAGGATAGGCCTCATGGGCCTACTCTAAATCAAGGGAAAAAAATCATTAGATAAATTAATTTTCTGAAATTTGAAATGTAAAAGATGGCTGGCTGTATAGCCTTCTGATTTACCACAGTGAAAACAAAAAATACAAACATGGTATTTTTAGATCACATAAGGCCATATACTGTATTTAACAGTGAAAATTAAATTTCTTAAATCTCTTATGCTTACATTAATTACATTGATATTTAAAAGCATGTATGTGGGAATATGATTAGAGTTAAGTTAGCAGCATATTTATAAATTGTAATCAGTTAATATTGCAATTATAAACTATCTGGGTCAAGTTTTGAGGTGTCATTGTTTTGATATAATCTTAGATATCAAAGGTGGTAGTTATATTATCTTTAATGTTAAATACAGAAACAGTTTCTAAACTTTGTAACCAATTTTGGAACCTTGGAGTTATAATATTTTAAAAATAAGTTAGCAATTTATGTGTATCAAAGTTTTCTAGAAAAATTTAAGACAGAAAATTACTTTCTTACCACACAATTTATTTTCTTTTTTTTTTTTTGAGAGAGAGAGAGAGAAAGAATTTTTTTTAATATTTATTTTTTTAGTTTTCGGTGGACACAACATCTTTATTTTTTTTATGTAGTGCTGAAGATTAAACCCAGCACCCTGCGCATGCCAGGTTAGTGTGCTACTGCTTGAGCCACATCCCCAGTCCCACAACTTACTTTCTTAACACCCATTTTCTTCATACTATTCAAATTAAAATAGCAAATATATATATATATATTTCCTTACATTCCATGTTATTTCTGTTTTAAAAGTTAGGATTTAAAATTTTAAGTGATATTTCATTTAAGCCTAATTGATATAATTAGTATGTATACACAGTATACATACCATAATCAAGTTCACAAAAGTGAGTGAATACCAGAAAAATTTTTGTAATGGAGGAGAGAGGACTGATAGTTTTCAACTCTCTGCATACTGAATAATGTGCCCAGGTAGCAGAACTTCTGGTTCCAAAGCGTGTACCCTCTCCAAAGGCTATTCATATTTATGATGACTCATTATGTGCTTCGTGATTGTAAATAATTATAATAAACCAGAAGGACTCCTTGCTCCTGTAGAAGCAAAAATTTCTATTGATCCATATATTATTTACCTGTTATCCAATATTTTACTCTAGTTATTGCAGCACTGTTGTGGATATTTGCCTTTCTCAGGTATGTTTCTTTTATTCAATTATTGTAATTGCTTCCCTTATATTAGTCTTCTAATTAGAAGTATTTTAAGATGTGTTTTGTCTTTATACCATTTGACACTCGTGTCTGGTGGAACCAAGAACTGCTCCCTCATATTGTTTGTGACTCCCAGTCTAAGAAGGGATTCTGGACACAATTAGGAATCATTGGCATACTTCTAATGTATTTAGTTTTCAGTTTTCCCCCTATGTTTCCCAGCATATTTTAATAACTAACCTATTATTGGGCCCACAATGTGGAAAAAGTTATGAAGACATGAAGAACAGACCTTTCTCCCTTTTTTCTTGAAACTTTAGTAAATATTATAGTGAAACATTTCTGTGAAAATTAGTGATTATGTTTACCTTTTTAGTAAGTTCAGGTACAAAGGCTGAAATGAATCCCTCAGCAATTTAAAGTTTTCTAGAATATCTTATTTCTAAATATGCAAAGTTCTGACAATAATTGGGGATCATACTCTGCAGGGCATACTTACAAAGACCTACTAATCTATTAACACTTTATTGCCCATACCATCTGGAATTGGAGAGAATAAACCATCAAAACACAATTCTGAAGAGTTCAGTTCAGTATGATTTATGCGAAAACCAGACTAAATGAGGACATTCATACTGCCACTGGCTCTTATACCAGGATATTTAAGGCAAACAGAAAACTGGAAGTTTTCCTATATGAAATGTTAAGAGTAGGTCTGGGAGACCATCAATTACTCTCTAGTGGCCACCCACAATGAAAAAACATTCAGTCCTTCCACAATGTAATGTTACGTTATTGCAAATTACGTTATTGCAAAAGCATCTAATCACTGGTATAAGAAGCCCTAATAGTTAACCCCCAGAGATGATTCCCCACTTGAAAGCCTGCTAACTTGGTCTTCATCAAGGTTGCAAAAGTAAATGAATGTCAGCAGAAGACTTTATTCAAACCTCAATTGAAAGGGCTCTTTCATATCTTGGTGATCTGTCTCATGCCAAGATTTTTTTGACTTAGATACATAGCTCCCACTGTAAGAAATATCTTTCCTACCATTTAACAGGTTTTATGCTACTAATACGCTTTATTTTTAGACATGGGAACCAGTTACATACTTCTTACTTGATTACAGACCAGAAGAGCAGGTTACAGAAATTATTCATAATGTCCTAAAACTACTTCACAGCTGTTAAAACTTTTGCCCCAACCTGGCCTGATGACAACTGCATTCAACCCATGTTTAAGAATTATCCAAGAACTCTCCAGACATGCTATAGGTTAATTTCATCTTGCAGAAACCAGTAAGATTTTTTTTTAATTCCCATTGGTCATAGAATCCAAGAAAGACTCACTTCAGATATCAATTATCTCTCCAACACCTTTCTTTCCACAATGGTGGCATACCTGGCCCTTCATGCATCAAGACTCAGTCTTGGCCAACTGAATTGAGTCTAGGGATTACAAAAACTTCTAAGATAAAACCTACTATAATGATTTTTTGTTTTGTCAGAAACTGATTTATTTGACCTTCACTGGAAAATAATATATTTCTTAAAATCTGTCACAGATTTTAATCATCAGAACAAGTATGATTGCTAATGCTCTCACATTCTTAAAGAAAAATCAGCAGAGGGCTGACACTAAGATAAATATCTGATAACAAGCAAGCACCTTTACAGTTGCCACACTGTTCTTTCTCAACCTCTGGTCTTGTTACTGAGTTGCAGTTATAAATGAGGGGGATTCATTACCAAAACTCAAGTAAAACTGAGCCTGCTCCAGCACTGCACCCTGTCATCATTAATACATTGTTTGGCTGTCTGTTTGGACAGATCAAAATCTCAATAATAATATAAAAAACTCAATACTTACCTCAAATTCTGTAGTTTACAGTCTGGGTGTTTCAAGGCTTCACATAATGACTTTATTCCATTATTCTCTATTTTACTCCCTTTCAGGTCGAGATGCATCAGATTCTGGTTGTGAGTCAACAAACTAGATATACCCCGACAGTCATCAGGGAAGGTGACAGATCTCAACCTTCAGAAGAAAAAATATGCAGAAGGGATTACAAAATCATCTCTATCTCTGGTTACAGCACCCCTCTCTATTCATATTCAACTCTTGGATACTACCATAAGTATTATCTTACTTTCATCTTTTATCTGACTGGGTTTCTCATATTTTAGGTCAGGTAATTAATCTGAGTTTCAGAGTATTGTTTAGAAAAGCAACTGTGTTACAGCTTTGATTTCCATTTATATCCTGACACCACCAACCTTTTTGACCTTAAAGGAAAAAAGGTGATAACATCAGGAAAAGCAGAGAGTAGCTTCTGAAGACTTAATCTCAGGAATGACTACCAAAATCATCAGCACTGTTCCAAATACTGCAACTATAACATGAAATAACAATATTAAAATCTTTAAGTAATCAAAATGAGTGCATAGCTAATATCAACTGTGTGGTACACATCATTAGCAAAACACATTGTTACAAAATATGCCTTGTAATCTTACAGATGTTTTTAGGTGTACAGAGGCAATTTGAAGCAAAAATATAAATTTTCCAATATTCTTTCCTACTTTCCATCTGCTAACTCAGTCAATATGTCTGATTCTTCTGTAGTACCTTTGCTGGCCCCAAATTCCCAGTCTGTTCACACTTAACTGTTTGAAACCTCCTCTTGTGATACCACCTCCCCTCCCCTCTGATCACTATCCTTTCTCCGATCATCTCTGCCCCCAATCATCAAGAAAATAAATATTTTTTTTTTTACCCACTTGTCACACTAACCATCCTCATCTAATAAAAGTGCCTAAAGCATTCTGTAAATATAAATCAGAAGCATTCTCACTTGTTAAAGTAAAGGAACTACCACTAAGGCTGCAAAGACAGAATGGTCACCAGAGTGTCATCCCTCTCAGAGACCCTTGCATTCTAAAAGAGGAATCCATTTAACCAACAAGGCGGCATTGGTTTTTAAGATTTGGACTGGTGACATTCAATGAAGGGATAATGTTGGCCAGAGGTTTAGAAATGAGTGAAAAGGACTTCCAAAAACCCTTTAATCATAGCATAAACCCTCTTTCCTCAACTCCTTAATCTACAAGACCAATGAACTCTAGTTACTTGAAATCTATTACCAGAACTCACTAAAAAACACAGATTCTGAGGAAAATGTTTAATGAAGCCTCTTTCCCCTTGAAAGAGCATTCAGGGTTGATAGCAACAAGGATCCATCATTTGTTCAGCATTCAATACATACTTCTAAGCACCCAATGGACCTTGGGCATATGAGACAGGCACTAAAATATAGAGGGAAATAAAATCAGTTCCAGGTTCTAGCAGAATGCAAGGGACATGCAAACACATTTTTAAAAATGGGAGCATGAGAGCCAAATTAACAAAATTTAAAAGATTGATAGCAGCAAATGTTGGCAAATATAAAGAGCAGTGAGAACTTCCATATATTGCTCTTGGGACTACAAAATGGCACAATCACTTTGGAGAACTGTCCATTTCTTAAGATATACATCTATTAATTGGCAATTCCATTCCCAAGTATTCACCAAAGATGAAAACTTATGTCACAAGAAATCAAAGAATATTCAAAGCAGTCTTACTCAAAACAACTAAAAAATTAGGAAAATCCCAGGGTTCCATTTACAAGAGAATGAATAAAGAAACTGTAGTATAGTCATATAATGAAATGCTAGTCAGTAATAAGACTAAAATATGTAAGAAAGACATTTTTCAAATATTTGTTAAGAAAATAGGATGGACACAATAAACATATACTGTATTAGTTAAACTAAAGGATTTATAAGAAAAGACAAAGCTGCCCCATGATGGCAGGTATTAGAATATGTTTGCCTCTGGGACTGGATGACATGAAAGGACTGAACAGGAAGGGCTACAAGGGAATTTCCTGACATGAAGAAAATGCTTTATCTTGTTTTGGGTATTGGTGACAATATGTTATATTGTCACAGTTTTTATATCTGGGTATTTTATTGAATGTAAATAATTCAATAGAAAACCAATTTCAGGCCAGGTGCGGTGGCACATGCTTGTAATCCCAGCAGCTTGGGAGGCTGAGATAAGAGGATTGCAAGTCCAAAGCCAACTTCAGCAAAAAAGCAAGGCGCTAAGCAACTCAGTGAGACCCTGTCTCTAAATAAAATACAAAATAGGGCTGAGGATATGGCTCAGTGGTCGAGTGCCCCCGAGTTCAATCCCCAGCGCCAAGAAAAAAAAAAAAAAAGAAACAATTTCAGAAGAAAAGATAGAAAATTCTAGAGCTTGTCTTTGAAAGTGCTTTGCTGATTTGCCTAGAATGTCTGTGGGTTTTTTTTTTTAAAGATGTGTGTACTTGGGCTGAGGTTGTGGCTCAGTGGTAGAATGCTTGCCTAGCACATGTGAGGCCCTCAGCACCACATAAAAGTAAATAAAAGTATTGTGTACAACTAAAAAAATATTTTTTAAAAGGATTAAAAAAAAAAAAAGGTGTGCACATTTAAGGGCTGGGGCTGTAGCTCAGTGGTAGAGAGCCTGCCTTGCACATGTGAGGCACTGGGTTCAATCCTCAACACCACATAAAAAAATAAAGACATTGTGTCCATCGACAACTAAAAACAACAGATGTGTACATTTAATACTTTATTTTTTAATGTGGTGCTGCCGAGGATCAAACCCAGTGTCTCAAACATGTCAGGCAAGCACTCTTCCACTGAGCTACAGTCCCAACTTCCCCATGTCTCTGTGTTCTTTACCTAGAAAATTCCTAGTCAAGCCTCAAAAATCTCATGTGAACAATTATCACACCCTGTAGAATCTTTCCCAAAACAAGTTAGTTATGCTCCCATATCCTCAAAAGTTTCTGCTGTTCGTGTTCTTAACAGTATTTTGACAAAGGATTTTAAAGTACCATTATGATGAACACATTTTGATCAGTGTGTCATTAGTCAATTTGTTGTTTTGCAAACATCAATGATAGGACTTACAGAAACCAAGATAGCTATGAGATCACTAGGAGATAGAATTTTATCATATCACCATCTGTCATTAACAAAAATGTTATTATGTGTTACATGACTATTTATTTATCATTAGTTTCCCCTAATAAAAGTGGAAGATAAGAAGAAAGATCCGTAACACCATCAAATTTTCTTATGCCAGACTTACAGTAGTTTTTGTAGTTTACAATTTGGGTGCCTCAGTTCTTGACAGAAAGTCTTCATTGCTAATTCATCAAGGTTACTATGATACAGTTCCAATTCTCTGAAGTTTTCATTTGTGTGAAACACAGAACAGAGATTTTTCCAGCAACGGATAATACGATCACTGTCCCTTTGCCTATATATGAGTGGAAAGAAGAAAAAGATGTGTGAATCTATTTCAGCTCGGTCAATTCTCAGAAGATGATATTAGTATAAAAGTAAAAGTGCTTTGGAAACTGGAGGAGCATTCAGTGCAGCTGTTCCATGGGCATGGTCCAGCAGTAAATCTTCTCTTTACTTGGCATCTTTCTAGAAGCTTTGTTTTCTTAATAGCTTCCCCATCTCTTATCTACTCCCTAAATACACAAAAAATTAAAACTATAGAGAGATTTCTCTTTGGAGGGAGAGACCTGGGAAGAACAAGAGATCAAATATCTGAAGAGTCAATGTCATGAAGGGAAATAAAAAAAAAAAAGCAAATGACCACAAAGAGTAAAGTTAGGATTAGTAGGTAGCAATTTAGTGTGGTGTGATACGTTATATATTAAGAACCAAAAAAAAAAAAATTAAGAACCAAAGGCTTTGAGCCTTATCATTTAACTAATCATAATACTTTAGATACATGACATCAATTCTATAAGCTCCAAGATTTCTTCATTTATAAAATGGAAATGTCTTCTCTCTTTATAAGGTTGTGAAGACTCAATAGTCAAGATAAGTGGGAACTCAGAAGCACCCGCAAACATTAAAATGCTGAATGAGTTAATTATCAGTTATATTACCAAAGACTCTAAGATGAATAAAGGGTGGTAAAGGAATAAATCAGAAGTATCCTGGTGACTATAATAAGCATAAGCTCTAGAACACAGAACAACTCAACTCTTCCACTCACTAACTGAAAAATTTACTAATCAAGTGAGCTTCAGCTTATTCATCTTGGCAAATAAAGTTGAGAATCTCTTAGGATAACTGTGAAAGTTCAGCAAAGCAACCTATAGAAAATGTTCAGCAAGTGTCCCAGATTTTAAGGGCTTCCTAACAATTGTTAGCTATCATTTACATTGAAATATTTAGTAAATAAATTATATATAAAGTATTTACTATAAATATTTGTTGCTTTGTTCATAATAGTTACTAAATAAATTGATTCTGATACTTTAAATTGGAATGAATGGTACTACAGAGTAATGGTCTACCACTTAAGGTCAAATTTGTGAAAACTTAATAAAACATTCAAATATTTCCTATGAACAAATGCTATAGACAAAATGGTGAATGAGACAAGTTTACAATATAGTTATCTTGTAGAATAGACTGAAGTCACCTACAATGACCCTTTTAAAACTTGAGTTCTCAGATCCTTTAAAAAATTTTTAGCAACAAGGCCAACTCTAGCATTAGCAACTCTGCAACATAAGTGAGGGAAGCTAGCATGAGGCCTGACAATCTAGTGGCCAGACTTCCAAACATTTATTGTAAAGTATAAAAGACATTCTTAGGCCTGGGTTCAGTCACATCTTCTTGAAATGGAACAAGGAAGTCAGACCTAAGAAAACTGACTTAAGAAAATTACTTGAACTCCTTAAAAGTAAAGGTCAGAGCATTCCAGCCCCCAATTTCTATTATCACGGTTCAGAGGAAAAGGAAATATATGTTCTTAAGAGATGGCTGCTTCTGTAATTGTGTATAGGTCCAATGGAACAGCTGGAAAAAAGTTGGAAAATTACAGTCTCAGGGGACTCAGATGTGTGACCTCATTCAAGTTATGCCTTTGTGGTGTCTTCTTTTTTTTTTCCCCGTAAGTAAAATGAGAGTGAGCATCTACTTCATGGGATTGTTGTAGAAAATAAATCAAAGGTCTTAGAAGACTGTCAGGTATACAGTAAATACTCAGCAAGTGTTTGTCTTATTTGATGTTCTTGAATCGAGAACTTATTTTCTAGGGCTAGGGATGTGGCTCAAGCAGTAGCCTGCTGGCCTGGCATACGCAGGGTGCTAGGTTCAATCCTCAGCATCACATACAAATAAAGATGTGTCCACCAAAAACTAAAAAATAAATATTAAAAATATTAAAAATCTCTCTCTCTCTCTTAAAAACAAAAGAACTTATTTTCTAGGTAAACCTCTGAATCTCAGCTTTGAAACCTTAAATAGATATTTATGTATGAGATGTATAATTTTCTTGCTATCAGCATTAAGCTGGATAACATGTTGAGTATCTGGTTCATTATGAGACCAAGTAAGCTCTCAATTTTAATTAAATTTGGAACTGAATTCTATAGTTCAATTTGTCCCCCAGATTTAGATGGGTAGGTGAGAAAAGTAAACTTGAGGATGGGAATAGGGCCAAATAATATACATAAAATGCTGAAGGTGAATTATTCTTTTAAAAAATATTTATCCAGGGCTAGGGTTGTAGCTCAGCAGTAGAGTGCTCGCCTAGCATGTGTGAGGCCCTGGGTTCGATCCTCAGCACCACATAGTAATAAATAAAGGTATTATGTCCAACTACAACTAAAAAGAGTAAATATTAAAAAAACAAAAACCACATTTATCCAGCACCTATTATTTCTTACTAACCTCTGATAGTCTTTACATAGGCATTAAAGGGCTGAGATCTTTCATAAAGCATGTGCACACACACTAAAGGTCTACCTTTAGACAATGGGAAGGTGAGCTAGGTCAGTAGAGTACAGGGGTACACAGTACAGGTAGATGACCTTTGTGTATCAGCTTCAGCAAGTAGTTTCTGGCCCCTTATTTTTCTGGAAGGGATTGTTTTTAAAAATGAATATACTTCCTACAATAGATGCAAGTTTGCATGACACCATATCCTTCCTTCAGAACGGAAGCATTCATTTCCCCAAGTTGCTGGGAATGCTGACAGCTGAGAGTTGTCATCCCTGTGCCTTTTCTAGAAGTTTGCCTTCAAACCAGAAAAGCCAGCTCAAGCAAGTTTTTGCTTATTTCTTATAGCAGTCAAGACTGGTCAATAGGGGTTTAAATGCCTGGCCTCCTTGCCATAGAGTTGAACAGCTCTCCAAGGTTATCCCAGCTCTGGGACCTTGGTTCAACTCCTCCAACAAAATCTACTTTCTTTATTTCCCCCACAGGGCACTTACCAAGTGTCGGCTCCAGGGCCTGAGTTTAACGGCTTTTCAAATATCATAGTCACAGACAGTTTAATGGTCTCCAAACATTGGCAGTACTGAAGGCAGAATGAAGACACAAGCAAATGGGCTTCTTTGCAAATCTCAATTTTAACCTTTGGAAAATAGCTCATTGCCTGGATTACAAATGCTTCATCTTGAGTCTCATAGAGACAGAAAAACAAGTCCAGAAGTTCCAGCTGTGATGAAGAAGTGTCACTTTTTCCAAATACTTCCATCCACTGAAGTAACTCTGATTTTAACTCCAGGGATATTTTACAATTAAAAGTGTCCTCCAATTGTTTCACTCTATCTTCATTCAAAAGGCCAAACAGAAACCATTTCATTTGCCTCAAATGGGGGTTTTGACAACTTTCACTTTCAAGTAATAGCTTCAAGTCCTCCAAAGACTGGAAGAAATGGTCTCTGTGTTCCCAACTGACTTCCAACATATAGAACATAGCTGCAAAAAACTCCTGAAAATGTAGGTGAGTGAACACAAAGCAATTATCATACTCTGTGTCCTTTTGAAGAATATTCACGTCCAGAAAAATTGAGAGGTCAGATCTGGTTAACCCATGTTTCCTGAGATTATCTTTGTAGAGCACATGTGTCATGGTCCATACTCCTCTGACAGCCAAGTGGCACAGGCTCCTTAGCTGAGCTTCATTGGGCAGTTTAGAAGAGTGTCCATTTACTGGTGCAAACAGGCTGGAGATACAGCACATAAACAGAGCTGTGGTTGTTTGGCAGATCACCGTGACATCGCTGCCCCTCACCATTTGCTGCTTCAGACAAGTACAGATGATCCAGCACAGTAGGGGAACTTGGCACATGTCAAAAATCATCTCATTGTCTCTTAATGAATTGAATGCTTTCATGGCCCATGTCTCATCTTCAAAAAACTGGTAAATATACTCCCTTCTTGAATCCTCAGACATTCCTAGTAGCACTGCATAACAGTGGTCCTTCAACAAGGACGTCAGTTTCTTAGAAGCTGTGAATCTTGATGTCACCAACAAGAATGATTCAGGGAGCATCACTTTCCTCAGCAAACTACTCATGAGGAAGGACACAGGGTGTACTTGGGTCCAGTCTTTACAAAGTGCAAACTCAGGTTCCTCAAAGGCAAAGTTCAGTTCGTCAAAACTATCAACAATAAAAAGAAGACTACTTGGCTGGGACAGGATACATTCAATGGGGATTTCATTGCTAGGCCAGTCCTCTGATATCAATTGAGCAAAGCTTCTCTCTTTCAGCTGGCTAATTTCTCGCCCATTGAGATAAAAAACATACGCAAACTTCTGTTGATAGAGATTGCCCTCTGCCCATTCTAACATCGCCCTTCTCATCAATGTTGTTTTCCCCACTCCAGCAACTCCCCAGAGCACCACTGTCTGTGGCAGATCACCAGTTTTGACATCCACATCAAACAAATGCTCCAATAGGTTTCGCTCTTCCTGAATAATTCCATGATGGAAATCTGTAGGTTCTCCGGGCAAGGAGTTCCTAACCAATATGTCAAAAAATTTTTCCTTTATTTGAATTTTGTATTCTGTTCCACCACCTAGGACATAATGGAGCAGGAAAAACAAACAAAAAAAAGATCAAAACAAATTTGATCACACATGATCAAAACAAATTTCATTAGTTGCAATGTTAAGAATACCAGAGTTACAAAAGTAATATAGGCTGGAATCAAAGATGGCTTAGATTTTAAATGGAGAAATCAAAACAAATATTTCTGTAGGCTTAAAGCCTGCATTAGAAGCTGTTGAATTGTTATGGAAAATAAAAATTAGATTTACTCTAGAATATGTTCTCTTCTTTATACCTTTCTCAATAGAGAAAAAGAATGATATGTGGTGAACAGAATCATCATCCAGATAAAAAGAGAGACAATAACAGCAACTAGGGAGGACAACAAGACAAACCTGAATCTATACATCAAAATAATCCAAAGTAGATTCATTTCTATTAATGAACACTGAAGCAAAGCCTGAATATTTTGAAGAATTCCCAGTGTCCAAACATAATCTCATCTTGATCTAGAATCTTGATTTCTGCCTAGATCTCCATTCAAATGATACTGTCTTGGAAAGACCTTCTTTGAATCTTAGTCCTAGAATAGTTCTCCCTTTCATATATTCTCAAAATTTGATGTATTTTCCATTCACAATACATATCACAAGCTTTAATTATTTACTTTCAAAGAAATGATGCACTTGGGTAGAGACTATCTCTAGTTCATCATCACATGCCCAGAGATGAATATCTCCTTGTACACAAGTGTCAGAAAAGAATGCAATCATAATTGAATACTGTTCAACTTCTGAATAAAGTACAGATATATGCAAATATGCAAAATATCAATTATTTAGTTAAAAAGAAATCAAGTTTCAGGGAAATCTGTTTAATACCATCCTGTCCTGGAAAAAGTAGACAAACTTTATGTGCCTCAAAATCTACAGGATATGCATCAAAATGTTAATACTGGTTAATTCCTTTTTTTTTTTTTGGAAAGATAAAATAAAGGTATCTTATTTTAGAATGTCTTAATGGATAATACTTTAGTATAATCACAACAATATTTTCAATTAGGTATTCTACTTATAATATATTATCTATATATGCTTATGTTTAAGTGAAAATGGCAGTAATGATAAACACAAGTTATTATATTTGTACTATGATGTGGTATATTATTTGAAACTAGACTTGGATTAGTTGTACATTTCTGATTCTAAGATATATTAATAGCAGGTTGGGATACGAAGAGGAGAAAAGGATAAACCCACTTTTTAAATGATATTTTGAATCCTTTAAAAAATAGGTTTGTTTCACTTATGGGAAGTTGAAAAGCAAAGATAGAAATAAGCAAACATATGATAGCCAAAACATTTTGGTAGGTTGGAGGAGGAACTATTTACAAAAACTAAACCCTATCATGAAACTACAATAATTGAAACAGTGTGGAATTGATATACATAAAGAGGAGAATCAATAAATCATTACTGTTCTTATCTTCGATTTTGTACTTATCGTATTTTCTAAAGTTTCTATAAGAAGTACTGTTAACTTTTATCACAAATTGCTGAAAAATAATATAGACATAATTAGCTGTATTTAAACAAACATCTCAACAAACCCACTAGGTTTGAAATAATAAAAATTATCATTAGTGTTTTTCATATTACAGGTGTGGGAAGTTATAGTCAAGGTCATTTAATAAGCAAACTGTATTCACTGGTGCTTGAAATTAAGTATATTCTCAATTATTTATTTAATGAAATAATGTGGCCATTTAGAAAACATTGTAGGTAGGTTAAAAATAAAGTTCTCTCACTTGGCTCAATTTTCTTTCTACTTTCTTTCCATTTATAGAAGCTAGAACTCAACTAAGTAATTCAAAACAGAGCAAGGGAAGTAGAAATGGTGATGAACCAGGACGGAGAAGATCTGGTTCCAGAAATTATAATTAACATGAACTAGTTGGTCACCTGGAACTTAATTACAGCACTACGCTGAAATAAGGTAATAGATGTGATAAGCTGTACGTCCTCTGCCAACTCAAGAAATTTTTAGTCCACCTTGTTCTTCACACTGTCAACTTTTAACTGGACATTTCCAAATACTGCTCTCCTGAGGCCCTGCATTAATATGGCCCCGATTCCGACTTTGGACCAGACAGCCAATGTTGTCAACTCTTTCTGAATGATATTCAGGAACAGGTTGGGTATTAGAAGATATTAACAAAAGTTGAACAATGTTCCTCTGGAAGATAAGCCCCCATGATACTTCAAAAGCTCAAATGCTGACAAAAAGCCTATCTACTCACCCAGCACCACCTCCTGAATTGGTGCCTCTCCAGCCTCAGCATCCTGTGGTCCCATTTTCTGGGCTGTCCCTGCAACAAGTTCCAACAGAATCATATTTTCCAAAATCAAATATTTTAGGTGATGGACAGAACAGGATCCAGCATTTCTACTCAGTGCTCCAGTTCTGAGACTATCTGGGTTAAAAGAAACTAGAGGCAACAGAGCCTCAAACCCCACCAGCTTAGCCAAGGGAGGAAATGATGCAGTGCAAACAAAACTTGCCATTCCTTCTACTCTGCAGGTCTAGCCCAAATGGTGTAGTACGAGTCTGTTTCCTTGCCTATGTTGACCTTAGAGCAAGATGAAGATGCACAAAGCATATAATGGATACACACTTGTAACTGTAAAGCCTTGTATATGAGCAATGGATTTTAAAGTCTATAATACTGAGATTGCTAAAAATACTTGCTTTGTTTTGTCTTTTAGTAATTTATAGCCCATTATATTTCAGCAAATATTTTAAAGCATATTTGAGATTTCTCAGAATTTAACCTATGACTATCATTTAGGCAAAGGCCATTAGATGGGATAATTCCCATCGGTCAATTCCTTTAGTCATTTTAATAGGTACAAAAAGTTATCCCTGTAAAAAAGCCTGGCTGACAAAAAAAAATAAAAATAAAAATAAAAAAGCCTGGCTGAGTGATATTACTCAAAATCTCCTGCTTCAGTGTTGCCCAAATGATCTAATAAGCTCCCTATGTATGAGACCACCACTAAGCCTATGTCCCTTAGAGCAGTTTAATCCCCAAGTCCCTCTAAAGAATCATTCGGAAGAGCTCTAGGAAACACTTCCTACTCCCTCCCCCCAGATTTGTCCCCACTATCACTCACAGTTGATCTCTGCTGTTGCTCTCTGACACAGATCTTTCAAGTTCATCTTGCCAAAGATTTTGAGAGTCACATCCCAGGCCTGCCCTCCTGGATAGTGTTTGTTAATCAGGTTAGCAAGTTCCTCCCGCTTAGCTTTCTTCACAGCAGTCCAGGGTATCGGACAGGGCTGGGGTTCTGTGGTCTCCTTTAGGAACAACTTGAATTTACTTAATTCCTCTTTGTTTAGTTCCTCCAAATACAATAGGATCCCAAAATCAGAAAAGAAGGAAAACGATGACGATGAATCTGCCATCTTGTCCATGGATCAGAATTCAGGCTTCAGTGGGGAAAAAGAAATTTTTAAAAACATGGAATAAATGGGACATGTGGAAAAGTATGATTTGAGAATCATAGCATTTTCTGATACATTTCCTGACAAAAAACAATCCTTAGACATAGACCATTGTATTGCATTACTTTTTCCACTCTCCCAGAATTCAGTCCCAGCCCCATTTATTTTTTGGTTGTAACTGGACACAATATCTCTTTATTTATTCTTTTTATGTGGTGCTGAGGATCGAACCTAGGGCCTCCCACATGCTAGGTGAGCACTCTACGGCTGAGCCATGATCCCAGCCCCCCAGCCCCACCATTTATGAACTGCAAAAGTTTGAAAGTAAGTTCATCCTCTATCAGCCTAGTTTATACTTCTCCAAAGAGATGATATGAGAATCAACCTCAGAGGAATGTAGTATGAATCAAAGGAGGTAGGGTTCATGTATTACCTGGCACAGAACAGGCTCCTACTAAGTATGGGTTAGTTTCCCGATTCCTTCTCTTCCCCACAGACACCTAACACATATCTCAGCCTATAAAACGTTGTTACTGCATCTTTGCCAATACATTATAACTCTTGAAACATATGCAATTGGAACATTCCACAATCTCATTTTACCATGTCATGTCTGATCACAAATTCATAGAAGCTCTAAATGTCTGGTGCTTGCTCACAAACTCCTTTCATACCCACTCCCAACATCAGTTATTGTGGGTGAAGTTCACTGTTAAAGCTCATCCCAGATATAATTCTTTCATATCCTTGACATCAACTCTCATGACCTTATTGCACTCCAACATTTTACTCTAATGCTGTCATCGCAGGTTTCAATAGCTACTACTAAAATTCTTAAATTGCAGACTCCCATAACTCACTTTCTACTAATATCTTAGAGTTAATTGAGCAATTTCAAGCCCTGATTCCCATGACAGTTTTTCAAACACCAAATTCTAGTCTTTTGAGCCCTGCATTTCATTTATCAGCCACTTTATTCAGTTTTTTATTCAGCATGGGCATTCCAGTTAGCCACTTAAACACACTCCCTAATACCTTCAAGGTCCTCACCTCCTCTTCAGTGATCTGCCTGAAAAGACAGAGCTAAAAAGTGGACAGAATTCAGCTTAGATCGCTCTCAAACCCCCTGCCCTTTGCAGTCTTTTATTCTTGTAATGGTATTGGAAAAGACAGGCGATGGAAGTAAAAATGTACAAAAGGGACAGTTTAATTGCTTAAATGGAAAGTGGATTTGTCCTATAGTTATTGGTGAACTATCAGCAGGTTTAGAGTTTTTTTTTTTTTACTACACTGCATAAATATTCTAGATTACAGATAAATCTGACAAAAATAGGTTACATAGTGACTTTTTAAAAAGTAAAAGGGAATAAATTTATAGAAACTTTAAAGGAATACAAACTTCTCCATGACATACAGAATATGGCAGGTGAGGGAAAGTAAGGCATAGAACACATTCCTGACTTCCTAACTAGAAAATTTTCAGATATCACTGTAAATAGGCCTTTTTATTCTTCTGTCCTGTAACAAAGGGCCTCTACTCCCTTTCTGTAGCTTATCCTTCCACCTGTGATCTGAATCTCATCAGCATTAACTGTTCTCAAAGTGATCCATGAGTGATCTCTCATCTCATTTTCTCTCTTCTATCTTCAACTTCTCCCCGTCTTTGAGGTCTTTCCATTAGGCTTTCCCAAATATAATTTAGTCTTTCATAGATGTTCCCTTCACACCATACACCCTTCATGTTTATAGTTAAAACTTGTAAAGCATCTTCTCTACTTATTACAGTTTCAGTTCACTTCAATCTAACTGCCTCTTCTATACTTACACCAAGATAGCTCAGCTGTTACAAAAGCCAACCGGTACTTGGGGATTCATTTTTCATATCTGTAAGCATGAATGGCAAGAATGCCTACATCATAAGGATTAAGGAAGTTAATACATGCCTGTAACTTACAAGGTACCATTCATAATAATGCATTTTAACAACACCTTATGTCTTTTTAAAATTTGTTCTTTCGATATACATGACAATAGAGAATATTTTGACATATTATATATACATGGAGAACACCTTATATCTTGATATTTTCTCTTTCCCTGACTCTCATAATCCCACACTTTTTTCATTTGTGTTCCTCTGAGACAAGTTTTATTCAAGTCAGAATTCTATTGGGTTTCAACTACATTATATCTGCAATTCTGATTAGAATACAATATACTCTGGCCTTTTCTTAATGGATTTGTTGTTCTCAAGGGATTTTTTGTTTTGTGTTCTTTTATTTACATTTTCAGGAGAAAAACAGATAATTTGGTGCCACTTCTCTTATGTGAAGGTATTCATTTATCCCAAAATGTTTTGAACCAATATGGGCAACCAGGGTCTAAGAGAATTTCAATTTAAAATAAATGACATGAACTTTTACCACCTACAATAATTAAAATATTTGTTCAAAATAAATTATTCCTTCAGCTCATATTCATAATGACTATATTTCTTGAGTACCTACTGCTCTTTATGAAAAGATTATCTAGCCTATTTTTTAAAAAAATATTTTTTTTTAAGTTGTAGATGGACACAATACCTTTATTTTTATATGGTGCTGAGGATCGAACCTGGCAAGGCGCAAACTCTACCACTGAGCCACAACCCCAGCCCCAAGATTGTCTAGTCTTTAAAACACTCCCTAAAGTTTGGTTTTACTTACATTTTACAGATACAGACACTTAGAAATTAGGTCACAGAGTTGACAAATAGCCTATCCAACTACAAATCTTACTCTTTCTCTTAAGTAGTGCTGCCTTTTTCTAGGCACTGGGAGTTCATTTACATGAAATTGGTGCCGCCATGATCTATGATACTAGAACCTGTGCTGAATACCTGGCTAGAAGACGACTTCTAAATATATAACAGCTGTCATCTGAGCTACAGTAGTCTTAGGAGAACACAGAGGAAGGAGAGGTTCTTTATGGTTGAGGATAGAAATAAGAAGTTCTGTGGGGAAATGTCATTTACCCCAGAGAAGAGCATATTTTTGTTTATTTCCTCCCATAGACCTGCCTGATTTCCTTTCTTGATTGTCCTCATGGAATCTCCAATAGCAGTTTCTCAATCTCAGCTTTACTGACATTTTTGGTTAGATAATTTTCTGCTATGTGTTTGTTATATGATGCTTAGTAGCATTCCTGGTCTGTACCCACTTGAAGCCATTAAAACTCTTGATCTTCTGCAGCTGTGACAAATAAAAATGCTTCTAGATATTGCCAAATTTCCTCAGAGCAGTGAATTGCCCCAGTTGAAACCACTTTCCAAAAATCTTTAACTTATTGCTGCATACCCCTCCTCTAGGAGGTGGAGCTTCACTCCCTCCCATCACATTGCAGGCACCCTTCTGCTTGGCGATTTGCTTCCAAAATGTAGAATAAAGAAGTAGAGCAACTTTATAGAGAAACATGACAAACATTGTCTCAGTCCCATGATGAAGGTTAATAACATCATTCCCAAGTGTGTTCTAAGAAGGGCACATCACTGTTATTCCTCCCTCAGGCCCATAATCCCAGTCTAACCAAGAGTAAAACATCAAACAAACCCAAATGGAGGGACATGCCACAAAATATGTGTAACTTCTCAAATTGTTGTGGTCACCAGAGAAAGACTAAGAAACCCTCACAGACCAGAAGAGACTAAAGAGAAAGTGACCAAATGTAATGAACAGAATCCAGGAATACAAAGAGGAAAAAAAAAAAGCAGTAGGAAAAAAACTTGTGAAAACCAAGTTAAGTGCAGCTGAATTAACTTAATTACTGTCCTAGTTGTAACAAAAAAGTATACATGAACTTTCTGTGATTCTAAAAAGTTTATTCTAAAATAAAATGGTTTTTTCAATTGGAGATAGGCATAGTCTCATGTTTTAGCAATTACCTTCCTTCCAACTATCCAGTAGAAATGTATGTACATATGCTTCAGAAATAATGCAAGAACTACTACCACAGTATGATCTGTAGTTTCCAAACACTAGGAAAAAAATGAATCTGTCTACAGAATAACAAAATTATGGAAAATTTGTACAATGAAATCCTATACAGTAACAAAAATACATCATCTGCAGCTACATGCCACTAGGATGAATCATCTCACAATCATTGAAAGAAGCCAAACCAAATAAGATTGTGCACTGCATAATTCCATTTTTAAAAGATCAAAACAAAAAAATTCCACTGAACAATAATGTTTATGAAGGCATATGTATTTTTAAAATGGAGGAGGTGTAATAAAGTACCCGAAAAGTTGGTTGAGTTACAGCTGCAAGACAAGATGTAGGAGTGCATACTCTGGGGCTCTTAAGTACTGGTAATGTTCTATTTCTTGATCTAGTGATGGTTTCTATGAGGGATCACTTGGTAATCACTTATGAAACTGCCATTTATATTTAATGTAGTTACATATAGTTCACATTAAAATTTGGTTTTAAAAAGGTTCACATCACCTTTAATAAAGGCATGATACAAAGAGATCAGGATAGAATGAAAACAAATATATGGTGAACTGCCTATTTATAGAAGTTTAAGAAAAAAGCAAATGGCTAACAAGTGTTAAATATTTCAAAAAAAAAAAAAGTTCAAACTTAGATACCAAAACTGATGCAAACCAGAAGATAGCACTTCTCAATTATCAAAATGGCAAAAATAAACTTAAAAAATAATACCATGTTAAGAATGGGATTAAGCAGATACTGTTAACATAAATGTTAATTGTTATACTTGGAAAGCTACAAGTCCACAACTACTGGAAATGTTAAAAACTTGCATGACTTTTCAATCAGTACTTTCTTCTTTGGGTCATCATAACATGGGAAAAATCTCAAATACAGAAAAGAAAGTTCTGGGCATAAGGGTGCTTTTTCAGAATAATCTCAAAGAATCCAATTATGATCAGTGAAAACCACATAAAAGTAGGGCCCATGCTCGTCTGTTTAATCATTACAATAGACAATATACAATATGTACAGGACTAAAAGTATATGGCAGAAATATGAAGATTATTAACT